TTGGAATCAACGGTAGCAGATGGGAAAAAATCGATTATTCGAAATGGGGACTCTGGTCCCCATTGCTGGGAATAAATTCTGTTCAGTCAACTTTCACGCGATCAATACTGGAAACAGTGGTTGTTAACTTCAGGCGAATTCGCCACGATGGGCCAATTGATCTGCCTTCATTCTCACATATTATCCTTCACTGGCATTCCGTCAGCGTAAACCAATACGGCAGGGCCAATGACCTTCACAAAAGTAAATTCATAATAAAAATTGATGCCACAAATGAGAACTACAAATCATATTATCGCCAACGCCGCCTACAAATCTCTGTTAATGAACACCGTTTAGTTTACAGACGCGGCAGTTATTTAAAGTTCATTTGTATTGGGGCATTTCTGGGGTACGTCACGGAGGGTAACCGTGTTATGGTATTCCCCTCTCGATAGACATATAACGAACGATTGAATATTTCTATTTTTATACCATAAATTTATTGGTTACATTATAAATATGTCGGTGTTTATTAACTCTTGATTGACTCGACATTTCAACGATAGAGAGATACATCGACATATAAAATAGTAGTTTTTGTTATATACTTATTCAGCAGGATGGAAGCTGTATATAAAAACATATATGCAATCTTTCAATATGTCCAATGTATACTATGTACAATAAAGATTTTATACCAATATATATTGTCTGACCAGAATAAATTCAAATTTAAAGCATCTTTATTCAAATAGCCTTATTTATAAGTACTTTTAAATCATATTTTTTTTATGTAATCTACTGCAAATAGAATGTTCCATGCAGGAGTAAAGGAAATGGATTTACAATTTACTGGATCACTTTTAATTCTATCTTTAAATAAAAACATTTTACTAAATTTCATTAAATTATGAAATTTATAAAACTTAAAAGTTGCTTTGATCGCTATATAGTAATTGACAAAATAAATTCATTTCATTTCATTTCATTTGACCATGATTTCAAAATAGCCATACCCGGATATGTTAACGGACTAGGGTAAAAAGTAACTGTGAAAAGAACTTCTACATTTATCTCGGTTAATCAATGTTTAATCCAGTATGTATGGGGGGGGGGGGTAAGAGATTGTTAGTAATGGGGACTACCAGTCTCATTGCTAGCAATATACCCTATCAGGTCGACTTCCCCGTGGTGCCACCTGGAAATCAACATGCTGAATGCCAGGTGTATCCATCACGATGGGCTAACTGACCTACGTTTTCATTCTCACCTATCATCCATCACTGGTGCCCTGCCAGCGTAGCCGTTAGCGCAGGTGAGGTTACCATTTCATTATCATCCACTAAAAAAAATCCAGTATATATGTCTTGTACACACGGTTGTAACACAGTCTGCTTATTACATATCTAAGTAGTTAACTATATGAGAAATAATTTAAAATTTTAGTAAATTTCTGCTTAAGATTCAAGTTTATTTGTTTGTGAAACATAAGTATAAATAAATGCAGATCTTAGCAATACAATTATGTTTAACATATTTAGCCTATACAGCATACAAAAACATATATAGATATACAGATAGTTCAAAATTACAGCTTAAAATTAAACAAAATACAAAAATAAAAATTATTTTTTAAAATTGCGTGAATTTACAGGTACAGAGGGATAACACCTGAGTCCTCAGGGATGGCAACGCATGGGGGGTATCATGGGCGTAACAGTATACTCTGTTATGTCCATGGTATTGTTCATGTCTATAGGCGACGGTTACCACTTTCTATCAGGTGGGCCATCAGCTTGTTTGCCATTCTAAGTTGTATAAAAAAATATATATATACAAGTCATTTTGACATAATTATAAGTAATTATTATAAGATATTTAATACTTCTAAAAAAATTTGTCGGGTAAGAATAAAAAAAAAATATAGCAATGAAATAATGTTAACAAATATAAATATAAAGAGGTTTCTTCAGGGTCGGCAACGCGCGCGTAATACCTCTGGTGTTGCAGGCGTTCATAGGCTACGGTAACCGCTTACCATCAGGTGGGTACCACCATTTCTTTGCCACCTCAGTGGTATTAAAAAAAATTTTTATTCAAGTTTTATCATTCAAGAATTATTATTAAGCAAAAAGTTATGAAAGTAAACGAGGCAAGGAATGTTAATAATTTAAAAGGACGCTAGTGATTTCAAATTCACTTAGTACTTGGTAGGGGGAGAAAGAGAAATTTGAAAATGGACAGTTAAGAAGAGAATAGAAATACTCAAAGAAGATGGATAGACAAGGAAAGTGGATGGATTGTGTGAAAGAAGGTTCGAATGTTCATGATGCAACAACTAAAATGACTGTGTGGACCCGGCATAGAATAGGCTATACCTTTCTTTCCCGTGGGTGTCGTAAGCGGCGATTAAGGGAGGACGGGGGATGGGCAGCAGCGTCCATCTTAAACATATCTAAAGCCTGACTGCGGCTGCCAATCTACCTGGCAAGCGAGGCAACTACTGGCAAAACCCCCCAAGGGGGAGACTTACGTTCAGTGGACATTTAAAGGCTGATGTTGATGAAGTAAAATGATCCTCTGGTTTTACCAGAATGATGTATCAAAATAAGTCTTGGCACTAAATAATGGAGATAGGCCCACAGCATGAGTGTGTGTAAATAATTAAAAACGTGAGTGAGTGAGGGAATGAGATAATAAATGTTTAAACATATTTTATTTTAATTATAAAATATATGTAACAATTATATTAAAAAAGGCACCCTTATTATCTGAAGGCAAACTTATCAATGTAACTTTAAAGGAGTTTATTGTTGAGGGAGACTTTGTACAAAAGTCGATTGCTTGGGTACCTCTGCCCCATTCGTGTTTCAACCGTGAAGCAGTTGTGTTTGCATGATTGTGTTTCGGTTTTCGGGTGGGATATGGCGTGAATTTACTGGGTACAGAGGAATAACATCTGAGTCCTCAGGAATGGCAACGCATGGGGGGTATCATGGGCGAAACAGTATACTCTGTTATGTCCTTGGTACTGCTCATGTCTATAGGCGACGGTTACCACTTTCCATCAGGTGGACCGTCAGCTTGTTTGCCATTCTAAGTTGTATATAAAAAAAAGTTGAATATATACAATTAAATGAAAAAAAATGATGATATACTAGTGTGAAAAGTTCCTTATGAATATCATTAGATATACACTCCCCTACGCATGCGAAATATATCGACTAGTTTTATGAATACGCGTCATAATAATCGTGTTGGGGGGAGCAGCGAGCGAACTGCTAGGGGCATTAAGTCGTCATGGACCGACGCGACGACTGCAAGGGGGCGAGACATGACTTTTTATAATTCATACTGTCATCGGTCATAATACAAAGGCCAATTGATGAACTCGGCTACATCATCTTTTAAAGTGAGGGAATAATGTTAATTGCTTGGTGTTAATCTTTTTATTGAACAATGTCTATATTCTTGGGACTTATTTAAGAAATATATATATATATATATATATATATATATATATATATATATATATATATATATATATATATATATATATATATATATATATATATATATAATTTAAATATTAACTTGATAGTGGAATGCCGTGCTTGTGTTTTAATGTACAAAATTTCAAAACATTTCTTCGTAAAATATAAAAAAAAGTCTATATTTTCAACTAATTCAAAAAAGTACGATTTTTTAAAAGAAACTAATATGAGAAGGATATTCTCAATATCTTAAATAGTTTGTTACATTATTCTCGCCAATTATGAAGCAATTTTGGTAACATTTTTAATAATCGATTGGATTTATTCCGATTCTGAAATAATTCTAGTCTCAATAGATTTATGGTACGTAAAAGCTGAACTAATTCTGAATTTTTTTTATTTCCAAACTGGTTAGCATCTAAAGAAGATTGATGAGAAAAAAATGAAAAAATACTTGGAAAGACGTAAAAACAGGAGATAGGCCACTATTTACCTTGGTCAATAAACATATTCTGGTCACGTATACATAGTAAGAGCTAGACTTAGACAATATTTCATAAATTTTAAGCCTCCAATAAAATAGAAATCCACAACAAACTCGCGTTCACAATAAGTGATTATAATGTAACAGCTTTGCTAACATCGCAAAAGTTACAAATAACCATCTATCCCGTACGACAATGGGACGAGGAGCGAAACGTGCCGATAAAATGCGCCCCCTCGCGATAATCATCAAAATATTGCATCACTTACCGAAATATTGTAAGTGTCAATCAAAGAATTAAGGTTGCATTGTTGCTGGGAGCGGCGCGTGGCGCGCCGCTCGCTCGCCTCGCTTCACGCTTGCGCTCGCGTGTGCCATTTTAGGGAGCCATTGTTTTGATTTTAACGCGTAAAAAGCTATGTGATTCTGTCGTTTGGCACTGTCCGTGTCAGGTATGCGGTAGCGTGAGTGTAAACACGAAACCATAAATTCACATGTATTAGCTTAGATCCAATACGGGTGGCGGTGCTTAGAAGTATTGGTGTAGATTCTAAGGTGTCACTTCTTTAAATTTATCTTTTGATCTTATCCAGATCTTGTAATATTATGAAGCGTCATAGAATAGACTCTACTAGGTGTGGTCTTCGGTGATAAACTGTTAATTGATAATATTAGACTCAAAATTAAATTAAACTACATAAAAAATCAGCCGTGTGGTCTCGGCATAGAATAGGCCATCCCTTCCATTCCCTTGACTGTCGTAAGAGGAGGCTAGGGGAATAGTCGAGGGATAGGCAGTAGCCTTCTTGCTGAAACATCACCAAAGACTAGCTGTTGTTACCAACTCGTCTGCCAAGCGTGGCAACTATTAGCAAAACTTCCCTTATGGGCAAGGCTGTTCAGCAGTGGACAGTTAATGGCTAATATGATGTTAAAAATAGATTTATAACAATTTTGACTTAGATATTGATGATGATATGATGATGAAAATTTGGTTTTCAACCTGTTTATCACAGAAAGAGTTAATTTATTGTACATACCTTGTGAACTTTGTGACGTAGCGTGTGAAGACCAAGAACTTTTGTAGGATGCATCTGAAAGGAGGATAATTCATTAAGTTTACACTAAAAAAAGAGAAGTAGGGTTCAGAAGTGTCAACGCTGTATTGTCATTACGCGACTCAAAAATTTCCTAAGAACGCCAACTCTTTAGAATCAGATAGATAGATAGATACTCTATATTGTTTCCCCCAAAAGATTACAATAGTAAACCTATTATAGATATAAACAATTACAAGAAATAATCACAATGAGAAAACAATAGGCGACCTTATCTCTAAGAGCGATCTCTTTCAGACAACCTTTGGATGGAGAGCAGTAATTATAAACACTTTGGTGGGAGACACAATATATTAATATAATTTAATTTACTATTAATTAAATATAATTTACTACTAACTAAGTAACATAGAATGGCTACCATCTGTCGACACACCTGATGGAAATTGGTAACCGTCGCCTATAGAGATGAATAGCGTTGCTATTCCTGAGGACTCAGGTGTTATTCCTCTGTACCCTGTAAATTCAAATTTAATATATCTGATAGTAGATCTGTCTGATCTCTTTCAGGCAACCTTTGGATGGAGAGCATTAATTATAAATAATTTGGTGGGAGGCACAATATATTAATATAATTGAATTTACTACTAATTAAATATAATTTACTACTATCTGATATATTAAATTTAAATTTACAGGGTACAGAGTTATAACACCTAAGTCTTCAGGAATGGCAAGACATGGGGGGTATTATAGCTAAAACAGTATATTCTGTTATGTATATATATTAAACGTACTACAATCTTCAATAAAAAAGAAAAGTTATATTTAATAAAATTATAAGTTTGAAAGAGGATTATATAATTATAGGGCCCCTCTATAAGGGGAGGTTTACTAGTAGTTGCCACGTTTGGCAGGCAGCTTGCCTGTTGAATACAGGAAACAACGACAGTTAGGTTTTTAGAGATGTTTTAAGAGGGACGCTGCTGCCTAACTTTCGCTCTCCCTTAGTCGCCTCTTACGACGTCCACGGAAAAGGAAGAGGTAGCCTATTCTATGCCGGGACTACACGGCAATGCTTGCATATGCATATAGAATGAAAGTAACTTTTGAAACCTTTAATAATTAAGGTTAATTAGGAATTTTTGTAACGAATAAAAAATAATAACGACGTCAGAATATTTTGTACACAATTCAATAAAAGACACAACTAAATATATACTATATAGAAAAACATTATATGTTTATAGGATTAAATATATACTCATTAGGATTTCCTTGAGCATAAAAATCTTTAAAGATAATATGTGAAATGTAATTTAGTAATTTTTTTAAATACCTATATAAGGATTTTTTTTTTAATTTACTAGCACTTTTTCTTTGATCTTTGAAACATCAATTAGAGGTTTTACCTCTAAAAAGAGGGGGGAAAGGGATTTTTAGTAATGGAAACTGAGAATCCTATTGCTAACAATATACCCAACCAGGTCGACCTCCTCGCTGTTCTCCCTGGAAACTGTCATGGTTAATTCCTAATGAATTCATCATGATGGGCTAACTGTCCTGTCTTTATTCTCATCTGTCACCCCTCACTGGTGCTCCGCCAGCATATTCCGTTAGCGCAGGCGGGGTTACCATACCATTTTCACCGATCAAAAAAAAAACCTCTAAAAAGAGTCCAGTTTACATTTGTAATTTTTGAAATTTCAATTAGAAGAAATGGATTGACACGTGTGGTCTGAGAGACCCATATCCAATATAGTATCTAGATAATATAGATTTATATTATATTATGTTTGTAAATACATAAATATATTTAACCGTAATCCACTTTTACGATTTTGTTCAAAAAAGGTATTTTAACATTGTAATCCCTCAAAATAAAAAAGTTTTTGTAACTTTTTTTCTGGTTCTTATTGTAATGGTACGTAGTAAACGTTCCATATTATTTGGAAATATGTCAAAATTACTATCTAATGTTCTAAAAATGCATATTAAATACGATAAATAATTTTTTTCATCGTTTCAAGTCCCGACAGTTAACAGAGATTTAAAAGAGTAACTGTTGAGTTTCTTGCTAGCTCATCTTAACAGATAATAACATACTGAACCTTGGTGTAGATTAAAAAAAAATACAATTTAAAAGTGCTTGTAAACCAGTCTATTTGAATAAAGATCATTTGAATTTGAATAGATTTAAAAATATGTTTAAAATTAACTACAGAAGTATTTTGTTCAATTCTGCTAATATTAGTGTCAACATAGCTGTCAACATTCGAATATTGACTGCTATTATTATTAGCAGAAGTTCTATAACCTATTATATTAGCTATCAATCCCCAACCGCCATTCAACCTACGCACGTTTTGTGACACGTGTTTCATCTACAAACGAGGCACCTTTAGGTAAATTAACAGATCGCCGTTCGGCATTCAAACTGCGAACGATCGAATCAAGTCGATCTTTGAGTTAATCCTTCTTTGCATGATTTTTTTATTGGTGAAATAAATCAAGGTGATATAATTCATGTTTAAAATTAAAGGAAAAATGGTTAAAAAATAAATTTGACGGCTATGTTTTTTTTTTCTGCAATGGACATTAAAAAGGTATCCAGACACGATCAACTTAAAGTGAACTTGTTTTTTTATATAATTTTTGAGCATTCAATGTTATGATGAAAATTTCCACCATAATGGTGGAAATTTTCAAAAGAAAGATTTGCAAAGAACTTTTCGAGTAGTAACAGCCGCAAGCATAGTAATGTTAGCGGAATTAAACAAAATAATTCTAACCAACTAACCAGTCACATGGACTTCCATAAAATAACATTTTGTTTGATGAAATAGCATATTGTTAAGTAATTTAGATCACATATAATATCACAACGCCATAACATTCAAGATGACTAATCGTAGATATGTTAATAATAATAATAATATTTCAGACTTTTTGGTCTATTAAATATTTATTAGTAACAATATTCTTAAAAACTAATGTTAGTAAATTAACATACACATACACACATACAATATATTAAGCAGTATACAGATAATCACCGCTGCACAATTCCATTGGAAATTGCGCAGCAGCGATTGACGTACACACAGTCCAGCCTGCTCGCTATCATACTCACAGTATCCATTCAAATGTAAAATTACCTCCTACATAACAATTCGAATAGAGTAACTGTTTAGTTTCTTGTGAGTTCTTCTAAGCAGATAACAACATCTTGAATCCAAGAATACAATTATAGAAAATTGACGTTTTAAAAGGGTTTGTAAACAAGTCTATTTGAATCAAGGTTATTTCTATTCTTTTCTGTATTTCAAGTATCCATTGTATTTGACAGCATTATATCGAGTGTCGAAAGTGGATCGTATTCTTTATTTTTTATTGTACACAAACATAATGTTTTTATTATTATTATTATTATAGCGTTTTATCCACTTCAGTGGTCCCCAAGGGTAAAAGCCTCCTCCATCTTTTTCCACTTCTCCTTATCTATAGCAATATTTGTCCAGTTTTTTCCTGCTGTCTTTATTATGTCATCTGCCCGTCTCCTTCTTTGCCTTCCAACATTTCTTTTTCCTGCTGGACCTCGCCATATGATCACTATATGACTTGCCCATCTCCACGTCTGTTTCATACCATACTGAAGAGCAGCTGTTATTTTGGTTTTCTTCCTAATATCAATGTTTCTTATTTTCTGTATTTTTCTTAAGTAAGAAAAATAAGAAACATAATGTTAAGAACAATTAATATTTTAATGTAATGATTTTAAAGGCGAGTTTATCTCTAATAAGAGATTTCCTCCAGCAAAAGTTTTTCATGTGGATTGAATGTTATTTAAAAGTAAAAATAGACAGTCATACGATTTGTGTTTATTATAAACATATTTTGGCTGATATTGTTAAGAAGACTCAATGTGGTTTGTGAATAATTCAAGATATAAAATGTAAACTTGCATATTGAATAGACTGCCTAGCACAGAGGTTGTATTGCGAGTGAGTATAAGATAAAACATTCAAGTTACGTTGATTAAGTTAGGTCACTTATAAATTAGGGAACGGTGCAAAGTTCGCTTTTAGAAATTATAAATAATCATTATGCAATATTGCATGTAGGCACAATATTATAGGGTATAATTGTACAAAAGTCGAATGCTTGGGTACCTCTGTCCCATTCGTGTTTCTACCGTGAAGCAGTTGTGTTTGCATGGTTGTGTTTCGGTTTGAAGGGTGGGATATGGCGTGAATTTACAGGGTACAGAGGAATAACACCTGAGTCCTCAGGAATGGCAACGCATGGGGGGTATTATGGGTGAAACAGTATGTGTGTGTACTGTTATGTCCATGGTACTGCTCATGTCTATAGGCGACGGTTACCACTTTCCATCTGGTGAGCCGTCAGCTTGTTTGCCATTCTAAGTCGTATAAAAAAAAAAAATTATAAATGTGAAAGTATGTTTAGATGTTTGTTACTAAATCACTTTTCAACAGCTGAACAGATTTGAACCAAAATTTTTGTACAATGATATATTAAAAGTGACACATAGAGTTTTTTTTTTATTATAATTCATGCTCGCAAAACTAGAGTTTGAAGAAAACATTATTTTCTTTTATAATAAACGTAATAGCTTTTATGAAATAATTAATATGGGATCATCGCGGCTGTTTTTAATTAAGGAGAATGTAACTTTATATTAATTCTACAATTGTTAGGGGTACTAAGTACTGTTGTTAATATATAAATGAAGAGTTAAATAATAAAGTGTACTAGTGTTGATAGTATCTCCTATATACATTTTAGTTTTATAAAATAAAAAGTAAATCTGTTGTATGTATGTATTTATGTATGTATATATACACACACATATATAATTACACTTTAATATTTTATAATTATACGCAAAAATATTACTTAATCAAAAAATTTAAAAGCTAGCAATGCGTTTCAGTTCGTCACTCCATCCAATTGAAATTATTATACATTAAAAAAAATTTATTTATTTGATCTAACCGAATTTGTTTTATATA